AACTCTCAAGGAGGCCTTGGAGAGTAGTGATGCTGAGGAGTGGAAGAAAGCAATGGAGAGTGAGCTGAAGAGCATTGACGAGAACGGCACGTGGGAATTGGTGGAGCTACTGGAGGGGCGTAAGGCGATTACGTCCAAGTGGCTCTTCAAGATCAAGTCCGACGCCGACGGCAAAATCGAGCGCTAAAAGTCTAGGCTTGTGGCCAAGGGGTACCAGCAGAAGGAGAAGGTGCACTATAAGGAGTTGTTTGCTCCTGTGGTGAAGCCGACGACGCTGAGAACCCTACTCGCGGGAGCTACCATCAAAGGATGGGTGGTGAAACAAATGGACGTGACAACCGCGTTCCTCAACGGCATTCTCGAAGAAGAGATTTTCATGGCGCAGCCAGAGGGGTTTGGTGACGGTAGTGGCAGAGTTTTGAAGCTGAATAAGGCCCTTTCTGGACTGAAGCAGGCCCCTAGACTGTGGTACTTGAAGCTGCGAGGAGTTTTGGAGGAGATCGGCTTCACTCCCTCAACGGCCGATCACTCATTGTTCATGCTTGGCGAGGGGGAGCAGAGGAGTTTCATGGAGGTTTATGTGGATGACATCCTTATTTTATCACCCTCCTCTTATCTTTTGAAGGAGGTGATGCTGAAGCTTCAAGACAAGTTCAAGTGCAAGGCCCTTGGTGACGTGAGCTTCTACCTCGGGCTCCACATTGAACGAGATGTGGAGAAGTGATGCATGCGGGTGAATCAACGGAAGTACCTGGAGACATTGGCTGCCAACTTTGGGCAGAGTGAAGGCCATGTGGCTACACCCTTTCCCTCTGGGTTCAAGTGTGTAAAGGGACCAGAGGAGGAGAGCGTTGGTAAAGAGGAGAGGCGCCGTTTTCACTCATTGGTGGGCAGCCTCATGTACGCCGCGGTAAACACACGACCGGACATCGCGTTTGCTACCGGACAGTTGGCTAGGGATGTTCAATGCCCTAACAAGGAGCAGGTAGCAGCTGGAATGAGGGTGGCCAAGTATCTTGGCCAAACACCGACCGTTAGGCTGCAATACTCGGCGGTGGCGCAAAGGCGCCAAAAGGGCGCGGATGGTGTTGAACCCGGGCGTTTGTTCCTCACCGCATTCTCGAATGCTTCTTATGCATTGGAACCAGAGGACATGACAAGTGTTGGAGGGTTCATTTGCTGTATTGGTGGAGGCCCAACTGCTTGGGAGAGCAAGAAGCAGGTGGATCAAGCATTGAGCTCGGTGGAGTCCGAGTACATGGCACTCTTCCGTGCCGTACGAGGGATTGTGTGGTAGCGGTGTTTGTTGGCTGAATTGGGGGAGGAGCAGCAAGGACCTACCCCACTCTACTGTGACAGCCAAGGTGCCATTTCTCTTGATAAGAACCCTGTGTTGCATGGCCTCACCAAGCACATGAGGGTGAAGTGGCATTGGACGAGGAGCATGGTGGCCGCGGGTGAAGTTGAGTTGCACTATGTGAAGACGACAAGGCAGCCAGCTGACATGATGACCAAGAGGCTGGTGGAGCAGCAGCATTGGAAGTGTTGCAAGCTGGCTGGGATGGCTCTGAACTGAGAGAGCAAGATCCTAAGGCCAACAATCTCTGGGGGAGTTTGTTGGTGCAACCCTACGGTTTGCATTCGGCTTGTTGTCCGTGTGCGTGCATGCGTGTGTGCATGGAATGGTATGAGGGCATGAAATGATATATATTTCATGCTTACAATAGTGTGTGAATGATGAGGCATGATTTTGAATGTGTGTGTCGAGTCAATAGCGAGTTATCGCTAGTCGCGTGTCACGTCGTCGTATGCGTGTCGTGTGCGGTTTTCTATTTTGTCGTGTGTGGAACGTTCGGCGTGTCGCAGGTGTGCGCAGCAGACTTCCAAGAACTCAAGGAAGAATCTACCTTGAAGAAACAGAGCCTTGGTTTCAAGAATCAAGTGATTTTGAAGCTCTCCAAAAGGGTAAACTTTAAGATAGTGAGAATAGTTGCATTACTTTGTGTAGTGTAACATTTCTCTTGATGTAGGCCCTTGTGGAGGGTAGTTTCGAGACCCTTCGTGGTTGGAGACAGTGTGGCACTGTTCCACATCACTGTACCTCGGCTCTTGGGGTTTGTAGGAGCTGGGAGTCATTCCCAACTCGTAACTCTTCCTAATTTGTATTCTAAGTCTATAGTGGCTGCCATAGTGCTGTTCGTTCAAACCGAGGGTGTGTCGTCAATTCTTAATGAAATAGTGCAATCTAAATTGCTTATTGTAGGTGACGTTATAACGCTCCAGATCCAAGTTGATTCACATCATTTGAAGCTGTGACCAGAACGCTATCAACGTTTGAAGACGCTGTGCAGAAATCTGTCTGTGCACTCTATCTTTCGTTTTAGGCACATTCAAGCTTATTGTGACTACAACAAACGTGACACAGCTCGTTGCGGCGGTGCGATGTGTGTAAGTAGCCGTGAATTTGGGGGAAGCATTCGTCTACATACCTGGCTCGAGAGGCTCTGGTTTATCACTTGAAAACCAGGTAGCGCTTCGCTTCAGTGGCGAGGTGTGTTTCCCAGTTTGTGACAACACAAGCCCCGCCAGAAATTTCCCTGCTCATGATTGGCTATATAATTTCGCCAATCCCCTCCCCAACACAACCTCACGAAATGATCGCGAACTTGTCGAGTGTTTCCCAACTGAACCTCCTCACGAAACTAGCGGATTTCGCCAGTTCCGTGTTTGACTCCTTCGCACTTGCTGATTTTGGAAGAGGGTCGTTTGTAAGCAAATCAGCATGCGTCTTTGAGTGTGCATCCAAAATAACCCAAAAAAATACCGCGATGAATATATACCGCCGCTTTAAGAAGGATTCGAATTCAGTGTAACGCTAACGCTACCTTGTCTAGTGAGGGAAAAAAAAGTTGTTCATTGTCTTCCAAAGGGTGAAATAAAAAAACCACTCTTTTTGAGAAAGGGTAGCAATCCAGTAATACTACATGGATCAAGGTAAGTGAACAGAATTGGCAAAAAGGGTAAAAACAATATTTGACCATGTTATTTGGGCCCTGGTCGAGGCTCTGGATATGAAGTGTTCCCGTACGTGTGCAATTAAGTGAGCGAACAAAGATTGCACTATCAAAGCAAGCAATACAATGAGCGAAGATGCTACAATCCCACAAGGGACTTTGCGACGATTGTCTCAGGGTTGATCGCAGAATGATATTGCAGCGGAAGTGATTGCCCTCATGTCAGATTGAATATAAAATGATTGAAATGACTGTCAAACTTATATCTAGCTTACATTGTGTAGGCTATAGTGGGCTAGCCCATAAGGGGTACAACCCAACTAGGGTTTGTACTTGTACCCAACTCTTTGCTAGTTCATTCATTCTCGTTTGTAACTTTGACATGGAATCAGAGCAGGTTCCTTGGGCCCACCACCTGATGCGCTGTTAGTACCCCCCTTAGCCCTGGCCCCTTGGCCCGTCGCGTTTTCCTTGGCCCGTCGCGCCCCTAGGCCCGTCGCGCCCCTTCGGTCCGTCGCGCCACCCCACGGCCCCTTCGCCCCTAGGCCCGGGCCCCTTAGGCCCGTCGCGCCACCTCACGGCCCCTTCGCCCGTCGCGCCCCTCGGCCCCTTCGCCCCTCGGCCCCGGCCCCTTGGCCCATCGCGCCCCTAGGCCCGTCGCCCCCCTTAGGCCCGTCGCGCCACCCCACGGCCCCTTCGCCCATCGCGCCCCTCGGCCCTTTCGCCCCTCGGCCCCGGCCCCTTGGCCCGTAGCGCCCCTTAGGCCCGTCGCGCCACCCCACGGCCCCTTCGCCCCTAGGCCCCGGCCCCTTGGCCCGTCGCGCCCATCGGCCCCTTCGACCACAGGGCCCGGCCCCTTTCGCCCGTCGCGCCCCTCGGCCCCTTCGCCCGTCGCGCCCCTCGGCCCCCTCGCCCCTAGGCCCCGGCTCCTTGGCCCGTCGTGCCCCTAGGCCCGTCGCGCCCCTTAGGCCCGTCGCGCCACCCCATCGGCCCCATTCGCTCGTCGCGCCCCTCGGCCCCTTCGCCCCTCGGCCCCGGCCCAATGGCCCGTCGCGCCCCTAGGCCCGTCGCGCCCCTTAGGCCCGTCGCACCACCCCACGGCCCCTTCGCTCCTACGCCCCAGCCCCTTGGCCCGTCGCACCCCTCGGCCCCCAGGCCCCTAGCCTAGGCCCCTCGGCCTCGTGTTTGGCCCCTCGGCCCCGCCCCTCGGCCCCTCGGCCCCTAGGCCCGGCCCCTCGGCCCCTTGGCCCCTTGGCCCCCAGGCACCTCGGTCCCTCGGCCCCTAGCCTTGGCCCCTCGGCCTCGTGTTTGGCCCCTCGGCCCCGCCCCTCGGCCCCTCGGCCCCTAGCCTCGGCCCCTCGGCCCTGCCCCTTGGCCCCTCGGCCCCTAGTCCCCTCGGCCCCTTGGCCCCTAGGACCCTTGGCCCCTCGGCCCCTCGGCCCCGCCACCCTCGTGTTTGGCCCCTCGGCCCCTAGGCCCCTCGGCCCCTAGCCTCGGCCCCTCGGCCCCTTGGCCCCTTGGCCCCCAGGCACCTCGGCCCCTTGGCACCTCGGCCCTGTGGCCCCTCCTGTTCGGCCCCTTGGCCCTCACCCTCGTGTTTGGCCCCTCGGCCCCTAGGCCCCTTGGCCCCTCGACCTCGTCTTTGGCCCCTAGGCCTCCTGTTTGGCCCCTCGGCCCCGCCCCTTGGCCCCTCGGCCCCTAGGCCCCTTGGCCCCTCGGCCCCTAGTTCCCTCGGCCCCTCAGCCCCGCCCTTTGGCCCCTTGGCTACTGCTGCTGCTGCTCTTGCTGCTACTGCTGCAACTACTGCTCCTGAGTGCAGCACCACTATGGCTTCGCTTAGAGTTCTAGCGTTCCATCATGAGGGCAGACCGGTTGCATTTGACACGTGGCACGACGATCTGCAACTGTACCTTCTGAGCGATATTAAGGACAGTGTCTCACTGTTTGACCACGTGTTCGGTGTCGCTTTAGCCCCTCCCGCCACAGCTGTCTCGTGACGCTACTGCCCGCTTAACCATTCGCAACCACTTGCCGGTGGCCGAATGTACTCACTTTGGACAGCACAAGACAGCAAAGGCCCTGTCCGACGCTGTCATTGCTCGCTACTCCTCCCCTGCCACTGCTGCTCTAGGCAGACTGCTACTGCCCTACCTGTTCCCTGAGCTGCCGGCTTTTGCCACCGTAGCGGACCTGGTTACCCACCTGCGCACTAGCGACACTCGCTACTGCGCTACCGTCCCTACTGAGTTCCTTGCCACGAACCAGCCCCCCATTTTCATCACCCTCTACTTCATAGTCTCTCGCCTCCCTGACTCCCTTCGCTCTGTCAGGGACCACTTTCTCTCCATGGACCCAAACTCCCTCACTGTTGACCTCCTCGAGCAGCATCTCCTCACAGCTGAGACTAGTGCAGTTGCTATAGGTGCTGCTCATGGCACTCCGCGCCCGCCCTTCTTTGACGAGTGCTCCCGCTCCCCCCTTTCCCCCTCCTTCGCCTCTGCTGCTGCTGCAGACGTCTCTGTTACTGAGGACGTCGGCGCTGCTTCGACTAGTGCGAAGCGCCGCAGCAACAAGGGCAAGGGTGGCCGGGGTGGTGGAGGTGGCAGCGGTGGTGGTGGAGGTGGCAGTGGGAGCGGTGGTGGGGGCAGCGGTGGAGGTGGTGGAGGCAGTGGAGGTGGTGGCGACGGTGGGACTGGTGGCGGCAGTGGGGGCTCTGGTGGCGGCGGTGGAGGCAGCGGAGGGAGTGGCGGCAGTGGAGGCGGTGGGACTGGTGGTGGTAGGTCTGGACCTCGGCATGGAGGCCCTGGTGGTGGTCAGCGACATCAGCAGCAGCGTCGGAGCGAGACCCAGTCGCCCCAGTAGCTGCGTGAGTGGTTGGTTCAGCGTGGGACGGGTGGGGGTAGTGAGAGCTGCCCGTATGTCATTCGCACGGGTGTCCGTGCGGGCCAGACATGCGGGAAGTTTCACACTGAGCACCGCTGCTTCTCCTGCATTGACGACGCCTGGCGTGCTGAGCTTGGTGACGATGTCGAGCTCCCTCCATGGGCAGATTTGCTTAGGTCGGGAGTTGCTATCTTTGACCTAGACTATGATGCTATTATCTCTGCCATGTATGCTTTGTCTTTTAGTGCTTAGGGTGGCTGTTATCGGTGTGTGCCGCCTAACCCAGGTATAGCTGCTGCTGCTCTAGGTGCTAGTGAGTCTGGTACTCCCCCTGGTACTGCGCCTGCTGAGGCCCTGCACACCTTCACGTTGGACTCAGGCGCCTCGCGCTGTTTCTTTCGTGACAGCACCACTCTCACTCCTCTCCCTGCACCTGTCCCAGTCAGACTGGCTGACCCCTCTGGGGACCCGGTCGTTGCCCGTTCCTCCACTGACCTCCCGTGTCCGGCGGTTCCGTCCGGCTCATTTACAGGTCTTCACCTCCCCTCGTTCTCTACGAACTTGGTGAGTACCGCTGCCCTCCAGGATGCGATGGTCACTACCATCACTCCTGGGGGTCAGCGTGTGTCGATCTGCACGTGCACGTGGACAGGGCGTCACTTGGATACGTTCACTCGTCGGCCAGGGTCGAGTCTGTACACGCTGGCTACCGAGCCTCCTCAGATCGCTGCGTCTGCTCAGGTGTCCGTGTCAGGTCAGGTAGCCACCTCTAGCTCATGTCGCCTCCTGTCGCACCAGACTCTTCTGTGGCACCACCGCCTGGGTCACCCCTCCCTGCCTCACCTTCGTGGCATGCACTCCCGTCTTCTTGTCTCTGGTCTACCCATGTCTCTGCCTCCCCTCCCGCCCTCACCTGCCCCGCCCTGCCTTCCTTGTGTCAAGGGGTGGCAGCGTGCCGCTCCTCACTCCTCGTTTCCCCTCACGACTACTCCCCTGCAGACTCTCCACATGGACGTGTGGGGCCCAGCCCGCGTCAGTGGACAGGGCCGCGAGCGCTACTTTCTGATGGTCGTTGAGGACTACATGCGGTACACCACGGTCTTCCCCATGCGTAGCAAGAGTGAGGTCGTTGATGTCTTGATCCCTTGGATCCGCACAGTCCGTCTCCAGCTCCGCGAGCGCTTCGGTACGGACCTTCCTGTCCTACATCTGCACTCTGACAGAGGTGGTGAGTTCTCCTTTGACCTCTTCAGGGACTTTTGTCGTGGGGAGGGCATTCTCCAGTCGTTCACGCTTCCGGACTCCCCTCAGCAAAATGGGATTGCTGAGCGCCGCATTTGCTTAGTCATGGAGGTCGCTCGTACCTCCATGATCCATGCGGCCGCTCCCCATTTTCTGTAGCCGTTTGCGGTCCGGTACGCTGCGCATCAGCTCAACCTCTGGCCCCGTGTCTCCTTGCCGAAGACCTCGCCAACACTGCGTTGGACGGGGAAGGTTGGCGATGCGTTGGTGTTCCGGGTCTGGGGTTCTCGTGCCTTTGTTCGCGATACGTCCGCGGACAAGCTCTCTGCCTGCGCCATTCCCTGCATCTTCCTTGGCTTTGTCCCTGACGCGCCTGGCTGGCAGTTTTACCACCCCTCCTCGCGCCGTGTCCTCCCCTCTCAGGACATCACGTTTGACGAGACGGTTCCCTTCTACCGTCTCTTCCCCTACCGCTCTGCCCCTCCCCCGCCCCTGCCTTTCTTCCTTGCTCCCGGTCCACCTCCGGTAGACCCCCTCCCGCCCTAGGGTCCTGCTCCCTCGGGTGTGTCTCGGGTAGACCCTCTCCCTGTTACTGCGCCTGTTCAGGTAGCTGTCGGCTCAGGTGCTGCTTTTGGTGCTGTGTTTGGGGGTGCTGCGTCTGGGGCTGCGGAGCCGGGGGGTGCGGGGTCTGAGGGTGCTGGGTCTGGGGGTGCTGAGCCTGGGGGTGCTGAGCCTGAGGGTGTTGAGCTTGGGGGTGCTGAGTCAGAGGGTGCGGAGTCTGGGGGTGCTGAGCCTTGGGGTGCTGCTTCGCCTGGAGGTCCTGCTGGTGCTTCGCCGCGACTCTCTTCACACCATCGGAATGGAGCTCCGGGAGCTGGAGGCGCTGGAGACACAGGAGCTGGAGGTGCTGCTGTTCCTGCTGGAGCAGGCGGTACTGGAGGTGCTGCGGCTACTAATCCTAGAGGTGCTCGTACCAGTGGTGCTGGAGCTGCCGGGACTGGTGGTGTTGGGTGCGCTGGAGCTGGAGACCCTACGGAGCCTGGAGCAGCTGCCGCTGGAGGCGCTGGATCTGGAGGAGCTGGAGTTGGAGGTGTCAACCTTATATATGCTATAGTCTGTTTAGGCTGTAGTGGGGTAGTCCTTAGAGGGTACAACACTTTTGTGTTGTCTACTTGTACCCCACCTGTTTCCTAGTTCATCATTCATTCCTCAATTCTCTCACATGGTATAGAGCTAGTTCGATTTTTTTTCCTAAGGGCCCACCACTAAAATTCTTTTTTTTTCCTTACCTGCCCGACGCGCGCGTCGCGCCTGCCCTTCGAGGCCCCTTCGCGGCCCGTAGCGGCCCCTTCACGGCCCGTAGAGGCCCCTTTTGCGGCTCGTAGCGGCCCCTTTGCGGCCCGTAGCGGCCCCTTTGCGGCCCGTAGCGGCCCCTTTGCGGCCCGTAGCGGCCCCTTCGCGGCCCGTCGCGGCCCCTTCACGGCCTGTCGCGGCCCCTTCACGGCCTGTCGCGGCCCCTTCGCGGCCCGTAGCGGCCCCTTTGCGGCTCGTAACGGCCCCTTTCCGGCCCGTAGCGGCCCCTTCGCGGCCTGTAGCGGCCCCATTTCCGGCCCGTAGCGGCCCCTTTGCGGCCCGTCACGGCCCCTTTCCGGCCCGTAGTGGCCCCTTCGCGGCCCGTGGCGGCCCCCCCCCCTCGCGTTCCTTAGAGGCCCGTTGCCGCCCGTACCTGGCTCGTCGCCGGCCCGTTGCCCCCCCCTTTGCCGGCCGTCGCCCGCCTCTGGACCGCCGCCAGTCGCTGACCAGCAGCCCGTCGCCGACCTGCCGCCCGTCCCTGACCAGCCGCCCGTCGCCGACCCGCCGCCCGTCCCTGACCAGCCGCCCGTCCCTGACCAGCCGCCCGTCGCCGACCTGCCGCCCGTCCCTAACCAGCCGCTCGTCGCCGACCTGCCGCCCGTCCCTGACCAGCCGCCCGTCGCCGAACTGCCGCCCGTCCCTGACCAGCCGCTAGTCGCCGACCTGCCGCCCGTCGCTGACCCGCCACCCGTCGACCTGGCCCTGCCCTGCTGCCGCCCCAACAGCGACCCCTGGTAAGCACTCGTGCTCCCCCCCCCCCTCCCCCTCCCTCCTGCCGCGCCGCCAGTAGCCGAGCCGCGCCGCCCAGCCGAGCCGCGGCGCCCAGCCGAGCCGTGCCGCCCCCACCGAGCCGCACTGCTCTGCCGAGCAGCACTGCTGCTACTGCTTCGACTGCTGCTACTGCTTCTACTGCTGCTACTGCTGCTACTGCTCCTACTACTGTTTTGCACTGCTGCTGCTCCTACTGCTACAATGGCTAGTCCTACCGTTCTCACCTTTGATAATGAGGGACGTGCAGTTGGCTTTGACGTGTGGGTTGACGATCTACAGCTGTTTCTTCAGTGTGATTCTAGGGATGGGGTATCTCTTTTCGATCACACGTCCGGTGTTTCCACTGCTCCTGCTGCCACTGCTAACAGTACTGTTCGCTCTCAGTGGACCACTCGTGACGCTGTTGCTCGTCTTGCTGTTTGTAGTCACCTGCCGCCTGCTGAGCGCGCACACTTTGGCCAGTACAAGACTGCTCAGTCTTTGTACGACGCTGTAGTTGCACGCTACTCCTCCCCTTCCACTGCTGCACTCAGCCGTCTCATGCTGCCGTACCTTTTCCCTGACCTTGCCGCCTTTGCCACAGTCGCTGACCTAGTTGCTCACCTTCGCACTAGTGACGCCCGCTACCGTGCTGCCCTTCCCACTGAGTTCTGTGCCAAGAACCCCCCCCCCATGTACATCACCCTTTACTACCTAGTCACCCGCCTCCCTGACTCACTTTCCTCAGTCAGGGATCTCTTCCTCTCCCTTTGCCCCACCGAGCTGACTGTCGACCTGCTAGAGGAGCGCCTTACTGCAGCTGAGAAGAGTATCTTAGCTGTAGGTGCTTCTCGCGGCGACCGTCGCACCCCTTTCTTTGAGGGGTGTTCCCCTGTCCCCCTTCTCCCCTCTGTTGCTTCTGCTGCTGCTGTCGACCTCGTTGGCACTGAGGAGGTCGGGGCTGCGTCTGCTCCGAGTGGGAGGCGCCGCAACAGCAAGGGCAAGGGGAGCAGAGGTGGTGGAGGGGGCGGCCGGGGGGGTGGTGGCGGAGGAGGAGGGGGTGGCGGTGGAGGTGGGGGTGGCACCGGGAGTGGGGGCTTCAGTGGCGGCAGTGGAGGTGGTGGAGGCAGCGGCGGAGGTGGTGGAGGCAGCGGCAGCGGTGGTGGAGGTGGCGGCGGCGGTGGTGCTGGTCGAGGTGCAGCCGCGCAGCGTGGAGGCTTTGGTGGTACCCAGCGCCAGCAGCAGCCGCGTTCCCGTGAGACCCCGTCGGTTCAGCACCTTCGTGAGTGGTACGCTGGGCGTGGGAGGTCTGGGGGTGCAGGTCCCTGCGCGTACGTTCTTCGCACCGGCCCTCGTAGTGGGGAGGTGTGTGGGCTCCCACACACCACGCAGCGCTGCTTCGGTCGCTTGACTGACGCTTGGCGTACCCAGTTTCCTGACTCTGTTGAGCTCCCTCGCTGGCATGATCTGCTTCTGCAGAATGTGCCTATCTTTGATCTAGATTTTGATGCTATCCTTGCTGCCATGTATGCTCTTGCTGATATTACTGAGGGTGACTGTTACCTGAGTGTCCCGCCCGACCCGGGCACTGCGGCTGCTGCTCTAGGTGCTCGTGCGGCTGCTGCTCTAGGTGCTCGTGCGGCTGCTGCCCTAGGTGCTAGTGCGTCTGCTGCTCCAGGTGCTGGTACGTCTACTCTCTCTGGTACTGCACCTACTGAGGCCTTGCACACTTTCACACTTGACTCTGGTGCTTCACACTCTTTCTTTAGAGACAGCACCACGCTCACGCCGCTCAGCCGGCCTGTTGCGGTCTCCCTTGCTGACCCCTCAGGGGGCCCAGTCCTTGCACGCTCCTCTATAGTTCTACCGTGTCCTGCGGCCCCGTCGGGCTTGCTGTCGGGACTCCACCTCCCCTCGTTCTCTACGAACTTGGTGAGTGGAGCTGACCTCCAGGACGCGTGGGTTGACCAGTTCACCCCTGGAGGTCAGCGTGTGACCCACTGCACTTGCTCTCGGACGGGCCGCCACCTCGCCACGTTCACCCGTCGGCCAGGGTCGAGTCTGTACACACTGACTACTGCGCCTCCTCCGGTCTCTGCGTCTGGTCAGGTAGCTGCGTCTAGTCAGGTGTTTGCTGCAGCGTCCAGGTCTAGTCCTGCGTCTGCCCCCTGCTCGTGTCGTCCTCTGTCGCACGAGACTCTCCTTTGGCACCACCGCCTTGGTCACCCCTCCCTGCCTCGTCTTCGAGTTATGGCCTCCCGTGCCCTTGTCTCTGGTCTTCCCAGGTCCCTCCCTCCCCTTCCTCCGGGGCCTGCCCCTACCTGTGTTCCTTGTGTCGAGGGCCGGCAGCGCGCCGCCCCTCACTCCTCCTTGTTCCCTCCGACTGAGGCTCCTCTGCAGACTCTTCACATGGACGTGTGGGGCCCAGCCCGCGTCCGTGGACAGGGTCACGAGCGTTACTTCCTGCTGGTCGTTGACGACTACTCGCGCTACACCACAGTCTTCCCCTTGCGCAGCAAGGATGAGGTCCCTGAGGTGTTGATCGACTGGATCCGCGGTGCTGGTTGCCAACTTAGTGAGAGTTTCGGCTCAGACCTTCCTGTTCTGCGTCTGCACTCAGACAGAGGCGGGGAGTTCTCCTCCGACCTCCTGAGAGCCTTCTGTCGTTCTGAGGGCATCCGCCAGACGTTCACGCTTCCGGCCTCCCCGCAGCAAAATGGGATTGCTGAGTGCCGCATTGGCATGGTCATGGACGTCGCTCGTACGTCCATGATCCATGCGGCTGCTCCCCATTTTCTGTGGCCGTTCGCGGTTCAGTACGCAGCGCATCAGATCAACCTTCAGCCTCGTGTCTCCTTGCCGGAGACCACACCTACTCTGCGGTGGACGGGGAAGGTTGGCGATGCGTCCGCGTTCCGTGTCTGGGGATCTCGAGCTTTTGTCCGCGATACTACTGCGGAGAAGCTGTCCTCCCGTGCCGTTCCCTGTGTCTTCCTTGGCTTCCCTCTTGACGCACCCAGGTGGCGGTTCTACCACCCCACCTCGCGTCGTGTTCTGTCCTCTCAGGACGTCACGTTTGACGAGTCGGTGTCGTACTACCGTCTCTTTCCCTACCGCACTGCCTCTCCCCCCCCCCCGCCACTCTTCCTTGCCCCAGGTACTCCCCAAGTAGACCCCCTCCCCCCCCAGGGTCCTGCCCCCTCAGGTGTGTCCCAGGTAGACCCTGCCGAGCCGGTCAAGGTAGCTGTCGACTCAGGTGCTGAGTCTGGGGGTGCTGAGCCTGCGGGTGCGGGGACTGGGGGTGCTGAGAGTGGGGGTGCTGATCCTGGGCGTGCTGAGTCTGGGCGTGCTGAGCCTGGGGGTGTTGAGCCTGCGCGTGCTGCGTCTGGAGGTGCTCTCGGTGTCCCGTCGCGGCGGGAGCCTCTCTCTCCACAGCAGCTTCGTGAGTGGTACTCTCGGCTCTGTCGGGGTACTGCTGGGGCTTCTGGAGGTGCTACTGGTGCTGGTGCTGCTGGAGGTGCTGCTGGTGCTAGAGGTGCTGCTGGGGCTTCTGGAGGTGCTGCTGGTGCTGGTGCTGCTGGAGTTGCTGCTGGAGCTTCTGGAGGTGCTGCTGGTACTGGGGGTGCTGCTGGAGCTTCTGGAGGTGCTGCTGGTGCTGGTGGTGCTGGAGGTGCTGCTGGAGGTGCTGCTGCTGCTGGAGCTGCTGGAGGTGCTGGCGCAACTGGAGGTGCTGCTGCTGCTGGAGGTGCTGGAGGTGCTGCTGGGACTGGAGACCCTGGGGCTGAGGGTACCGGTCCTGTTTCTGCTGTTTCTGGAGGCGCTGCGCGGCCGCGGCCGTACTACGTTCCGCTCCTTCAGCAGGTTCTTAGCTCACCGCCTTCTCCTGGTCCTCCTCCTTTCCTGAGTCCGCCGCCTGTCCGGTCCCAGTCACGGTTGCAGCCAGCCTCTCCACTGCCCGGTCCTTACTCTGGACCGACTGGAGGTCTTACGGAGCGTCGTGAGCCTGAGTCTCGTCCTGTGTTGCCTGCGTCTCGTGCTGCGTCGCCTGTCCGTACTGTTCGCGCTGGTCGTGTTTCGCGTCCGCGTCTCCCTCCTGTCCCAGGCACTCACTCTATGACACTGCGTCCTTCTACAGCTCCACAGCGTGTCCCTCTGCCGTCTCCTCCTGCGTCCTCTCTTCCTGCCAGTCCGGACCCGGAGTCTGACTCCCTTCGTGCTGCTAGTCCAGCTGTCCCGCGCTTTCTGGCCACTGTTGTCACTACCCTCTGTTTGACTCCTCTGCTGCGTCTGCTCTTGTTAGTGAGCTTGTTGACTTTGCTGCTGCCTGTCGCCTAGACTACGCTGCTGGTCTTGTTGCAGCGTCTGTGTCTGTCTGTCCTCCGTCCGTCGGGGGTGAGTGTGCTGTAGAAATTCAAACAAGATCTTTTGCCCATGCATCCTATTCCTATACTGATAGTTCACCCCATCTTTGTCGTTCCTTTTATCGTCACTTCGGCTTGGTTTATTTCCCCCATTGTCCTTGCCCTTCTACGTCAGGAAAGTTTCTAGCAATATTATCGGGCTTACTTCTTCCACTTCTCCTTACGCTCACATCCATCACTAGCGTGTAAGCCACGATTGATTTTGAGAACTTTCTAGGAAATGTACTTCCAACGAACCAGAAAGGAAGAACAAGTTATGAACACTATTTCATTGCGTATACTCTCCTGGACGTTTTCTCGTATCTTTCCACCCCTTTGTACACTTTATAACATTTTCCTGGTACGAGCTAACACTCTCACATGCACGACTTCACCTGCCATACCACCATCAATATTTTTGGGCAGATTTAGTTGTGTTATAGAAACTGAAACAGGATATTTTGCCCATGCAACCTATTCATATCCTAATAGTTCACCCCATCTTTGTCGTTCCCCTTATCGTCCCTTTGGCTTGGCCGTTTTCCCCCATTCTCCTTGTCATTATACATCAGCAAAGTTCTTAGCAACTTGTCGGGCTTCCTTCTTCCACTTCTCCTCACGCTCACACCCCTCACCACCGTGTAAGCCCCTATTGATTCTGAGAACTTTCTAGGAAATGTGTTTCCAACGAACCAGAAATGTAGAGCGGGTTATGAACACAATTTCAGTGCGTATACTCTCCTGGACAGTTTCTCGTAGTATTCCACCTCTTCGTACACTTTACAACGTGTTTCTGGTACGAACCAACACGCTCAAACACACAGCTTCACGTGCCATACCATCATCATTGTTTTTGGGCAGACTTAGTTGGGGTATAGAATTCCAAACAGCATCTATTGCCCTTGCGTCCTATTCCTATCCTGATAGTTCACTCCATCTTTGTCGTTTCCTTTTTCGTCATTTTCTCTTGGTCCTTTTCCCCCATTCTCCTTGCTATTCCACATCAGGAAAGTTCCTAGCAATATTCTCGGGCTTCCTTCTTCCACTTCTCGTCACGCTCACATCCCTCACCACCGTGTAAGCTAAGATTGGTTTTGAGAACTCTCTAGAATAGAAAATGTGTTTCCAACGAGCCAGAAAGGAAGAACGGGAAATGAACACAATTCCATTGCGTATACTCTCCTGGACGTTTTCTCGTATCTTTCCACCTCTTCGTACACTTTACCACATGTCTCTTATACGAGCCAACACACTCACACACACAGTTTCACTTGCCATACCACATCAGTGTTTTTGGACAGATTTAGTTGTGTTATAGAAACCGAAACAGAATCTTTGCCCATGCATCCTATTCCTATCCTGATAGTTCACCCCATCTTTGTCGTTCCTTTTATCGTCACGTTGGCTTGGTTTATTTCCCCCATTGTCCTTGCCCTTCTACATCAGGAAAGTTTCTAGCAATATCATCAGGCTTACCTCTTCCACTTCTCCTTACGCTCACATCCCTCACTACCGTGTGAGCCACGATTGATTTTGAGAAAATTCTAGGAAATGTACTTCCAACGAACCAGAAAGGAAGAACAGGTTATGAACACAATTTCAGTGCGTATACTCTCCTGGACGGTTTCACGTATCTTTCCACCCCTTTGTACACTTTACCACATGTTGCTGGTACGAGCCAACACTCTCACATGCACGGCTTCACCTGCCATACCACCATCAATATTTTTGGGCAGATTTAGTTGTGTTATAGAAACCGAAACATGATCTATTGCCCATGCATCCTATTCATATCCTGATAGTTCACCCCATCTATGTCGTTCCCCTTGTCGTCGCTTTGGCTTGGTCGTTTTCCCCCACTCTCCTTGTCATTCTACATCAGGAAAGTTCTTGGCAACTTTGTCGAGCTTCCTTCTTCCACTTCTCCTCACGCTCACATCCCTCACCACCGTGTAAGCCACGATTGATTTTGAGAACTTTCTAGGAAATGTGTTTCCAACGAACTAAAATGTAAGAACGGGTTATGAACACAATTTCAGTGCGTATACTCTCCTGGACGGTTTCTCGTACCTTTCCACCTTTTCGTACAATTTGCCACATGTTCCTGGTACGAACCAACACGTTTAAACGCACAACTTTACGTGCCATACCATCAACATTGTTTTTGGGCAGATTTAGTTGGGGTATAGAATTCCAAAGATCATCTATTGCCCTTGCATCCTATTCCTATCCAGATAGTTCACCCCATCTTTGCCGTGTCCTTCTTCCTCATTTTCTCTTGGTCATTTTCCCCCATTCTCCTTGCCATTCCACATCAGGAAAGTTTCTAGCAATCTTTTCAGGCTTCCTTCTTCCACTTCTCTTCACGCTCACATTCTTCACTACCGTGTAAGCCACGATTGATTTTGAGAACTTTCTAGGAAATGTGGTTCCAACGAACCAGAAAGGAAGAACAGGTTATGAACACAATTTCAGTGCGTATACTCTCTTGGACGGTTTCTCGTATCCTTCCACCTCTTCGTACACTTTGCCACATGTTTCCAGTACGAACCAACACGCTCAAACACACAGCTTCCCTACGCCATACCATCATCATTGATTTTGGGCAGATTTAGTTGAGTTATAGAATTCGAAACATCATCTATTGTCCTTGCATCCTATTCCTATCCAGATAGTTCACCCCATCTTTGCCGTGTCCTTTTTCGTCATTTTCTCTTGGTCCTTTTCCCCCACTCTCCTTGCCATTCCACGTCAGGAAAGTTTCTAGCAATCTTGTCGGGCTTCCTTCTTCCACTTCTCTTCACGGTCACATCCCCCACTACCGTGTAAGCCACGATTGATTTTGAGAACTTTCTAGAAAAGCGTTTCCAACGAACCAGAAAGGAGGAATGGGTTATAAACACAATTTCAGTGCGTATACTCTCATGGACGTTTTCTCGTATCTTTCCGCCTGTTCGTCCACTTTGCCACATTTCTCTTGTATGAGCCAACACACTCACATGCACAGCTTCACCTGCCATACCACCACCAATGTGTTTGGGCTGATTTAGTTGGGGTATAGAATTCCAAACAGCATCTATTGCCCTTGCATCCTATTCCTATCCTGATAGTTCACCCCATCTTTGTCATTCCTTTTATCGTCACTTTGGCTTGCTCGTTTTCCCCCATTGTCCTTGCCCTTATACACCAGGAAAGTTCCCAGCAACATTGTTCGCTTGTCCGGTCCAAATAAAAATGATCTTGTCCTCGTACTAATTGTCGATGAAGAACATAGTCTATCTTATCATCCCATGCATTCATGTAAAATTCTTGGGCAATTTGCATTTCTTATTCTCTTACCCCCACAGGGCCTCGCACACGCACCTCTTATCTTCCGCGGCTTGCTGTTCTCTATTGCCCTCATCGTGCTTGTTGCTGCCCTTAGCCTCGTAAGCGTTTGCGTACCCAGCTTCGTGAATCATTCTTCGTTGCAAGATACCTTGCATCCGCCTCTACTGATTCGATTCTCTCCTTCACCCTTCGCATTCTTTCTACTGCTCCCAGCCTTTGCTTTCATCCTCTTACTACTTAGCTTGAAAAGATCTTTATCTTTTTGGTCGTCTCACCCATTCTTGTATGAATTGTTTGTCATTCTGCACTACTTCATATTCTCCTACTCCTGAATTTCGTGCTCAACACATGTTACATAAAATTTTGGAAAAACATCATTTGAATCAACAAATTTTGTTACTACATTTGCGTTATTGGTATGAATTTCCATATCTTTCGTTCAATCTAATACGACATATGATTGTTTCTTCTTATGTTTCTTTACAAGTTTTATAGATAACGTCGGAGACCCAGAAATTTGTATTTAAGTTGATATATCTTACTGCAGATTACGCCTCACATCACTAACATAAGGCTTGCCTATCCTTCCTTGTTGCACTGCTTTCCTGAAGCGTCTCTCATCTTTTGCAGCCTGCTGCTTCTCTCATTCGCCCTCGCTCTTCTTGCTGCTGCTGCTAGCCTTGTAAGCATCTACGCACCAAGCTTTTTGCATCGTTCCTACTTGCATGATACTTTGCATCTACCTCTTCCTTGTCCTTTCCCTCCTTTAGCCTTGTCTTGCCCCGAGCTGCCCCCAATATTGCATAATACCTGCGACCCATACGTTCTCTCTTCCCCCTCTTCCTCCCCCCCATCGTTTCTCGCTTTGCTGCTCCTTCGTATCCGCACGTCTTATTCCAACGTATGTTCATTTGTTCTCTCCCTCCTTGTCGTAAAAGAACGTTGTTTCCATGATAATCCCAAGCGTGCATGTTTAACTCATGGTCAATTTGCACTTCTTATTCTTTCAACCCCCCAGGCCCCCTCAGATCACTCGTACAAGGCCTTGCCATCCGTTCCTTGTTGCACTGCTTCTTAGAAGCACCTCTCATCTTCCGTGGCCTGCTGCTGCTCTTATTCACCTTAGCCAGCTTGCGGTTGTGCCTAGTCTCGTAAGAGTCTGCGCACCCAGCTTTGTCGATGGTTTCTTCTTGCAGAATGTCTTGCATCTGCCTCTGTTTTGTCTCTTTTCTACCTCACCCTTATCTTGCTCGCCAAGCATGTTAGATTGAGTATTTCAAAAGCTTTCGTATTTATGATTTTTTATTTTTGCATTGCACGTGCGCCTTATACAGGTGTTCTGAGACACTTTTGTGGTTTGGTTGGACGTACGCTCCGCTATGGCCAACTCGGAAGTTATCTTTACGGGAGAGCGAACAGACGGTGAGTTTCATAAGCAATATCGTTTAGAGTTGGTACAAATTTCAGGAGATGGTAATTGCTTGTTTAGAAGTTTATCCATGGGGTTATATGGTACGCAAGAATTGTACAAAGACGTAAAACAAAAAATCTTGCGACACGTTGTTGAGAATTGGGAGAAGTCAAAATACGAGTATCCTGTAAGGG